TAATTAGACTAACTTAACCATCACAAAACTTACTTTCTAAGAATCCAATTTTCCTGCCCATTATTTAAAGCATACTGGATTCTGCCTCTGTAAATAACATTTATTCCCTTTTAACACCAAGTTTTTAAAACTAGCGCTTGGAGTCTACAGCAACAGACTCCTTTTGCTTCTAACCAAAAAAAAAAAAAAAAAAGAAAACCAAATAAACAAACTTGAGTGCAGTCAACACTATTATAAACCCCAATGATCCTTTCTTGAGATGAATATTTAACATCTGCCCTTGTAACTCATGGTCCCTATTTTCCTGGCTCTGTACAATCACACCTGCATTTTCAAACGGAGTTCGCAAACTGACTGCAAGAGTTCTTTCACCAGCATTTATGTTGTGGTCACAGGCCTGAGAGCACATAATGCCAGGATTACTGCTGACCTGCCCTCCGTGGAAATCTGAGCTCAGTGGTGTCTTTATAAAATGTTAGCTTTCAAGGCTACTCTAGACAAAATTGGCAGTGGATGTAGTTTTTCACCTCTATTCCCAGCTTCCATGTTCTGAGACAAAATCTCATTTACTCCATACTTCTCCAAAGGGCCCAGCGCTCTTAGTCTCCTCCCCTTTAGTAACCTTTTCTGGGAAAGGCTTAGCAATGCAGAGAAAAGGGAAGGAACTGGGATGAGAAAACCTAGGTTCAAGGGCCATCTCTTCATGACTGTGTAACCTTGTTCAAGCTATTTAACTTCCTCCACTCCCATTCCTCATGTGTAAAATGAGGATAATAAAATCATTTACTTCCCAGTTACAAGAGTGTTTTGGTTACAAAATACCTAGATTGAAGTGCTTTGAAACTTAAAGAGCCAAATAGGTGCTATTTCCATGAATGATTTAACTGAACATCTACTGTGTTTGGTGCTAGATATGGTAATGAATAAGATGAGGTTTCTGTCCTTGGAGACACAGTCTAATAGAGGATGTCATGGAAAAAATAATATTTATAGCATTAGATTAGAACCATAATGGAGGTATTAATCAAATGTTATGGGGCTTCAAATATAGAAGCAATTCATTATTTTGGAAGCAAGTCATGGAAATTTTGTTATTATTAAATTATATATAACGGGGGCCTCCCTGGTGGCGCAGCGGTTGAGCGCTGGGTTGCGAAGCTGCCCGCAGTCTCTGCAGCGCCGGTTCAATCCCCGGCTGCTCCCCGGCCACCGGAGGAGGGTCCCACATGGCACGCAGACCTCTCCTGCCGCCCGCTGCTCCCCTCAGCAGTGTACTTCGGTCCTTCTGCCTGCTCTGCTGCCCGCTCTGGCTCTGGTGAATTCTCTCACCATCCCGTGCTTCTGACTGTGCCCATGCTTGTATAAATAAATAAATAAATCTTTTTTTTTTTTTTTTTCAAAAAAAAGTATATATAATGGGCAAAATGTTAAGCCCAACAGGTTAGCTTGGGAGTGTACATTTTAAATGCAGTCAATATGAAGCTCAGTGAATAAAGTTTTAATCCTAGCATTTAATGGAAGTGAGAAAGGACCATCCACTACATGAGGACCGAGTCAGCTTCTGTCCACTGCCTCATAGTCACATAGCAATGATCACTTCAATTAAGGCAGACTCACCCTGCTTTTCACCATGAAATTGAATGGTTAAAGCAATCTTAAGTCATTTCAAACCATTCCCTTCCTTTAACCCCATGTTTTGGACATCAATTCAAACACACAAACTGAAAAAAAATCCACATCAGTTAATGAATCTGTTCCTGGTTTAGATGTTGGGAAGCCCTTCAGAGAAGCACTTGAGTGGACTCTTCCAGAGATCACCATTGTATGCTGGCGATCCCCAAACTTGTCTCACCTACAAACACCTTCTGAATGAGTTTATCAATGTCTCTGATATTAATCACTCTTTATGGTGAATGCTACTTAGGGACCTCTAGCCAGATCACTCAGTCAACTCCCAAACCATACTCATCCCAAGACTGAGAATCTGTTCTGTGAATCTTATTGCGGTAGTAGTCACCACTACTTATTCTTTCACTCAAGAAATCAATCAAGCAATCAAGCAAGAAATCTTTCTTTACTTCCCCTTTATCTCAAGTCTTTGAGTTCCATTGACTAAGCCCTATCAATCCCATGTCATCATCAATTTTATTTTTAAATTTTTTTTAAATTTATTTTTGCATAGAAGAACTGGGGTATAGGCCAGAGGTGCAGAGAGTGGGAGGATTCACCAGAGACAGACTGGGGAGAACAGGTGGATCTACTGAAATACACTGCTGAGGGGAGCAGCGGGTGAGACAGGAGTGGTCTGCTGCACCATGTGGGTAGTAGCTCCCTGGCTGGGGATCAAACTCAGGCCGCAGTGGCTAGCAATAGCTTGATAGCGCTGACTTTAACCCCTGCGCCACCAGGGAGGCCCTCTCATCATGCTCATATCTATACCTTCCTCTCTTTCCTCTTCTAATTGCCAGAATTCAGCTTTATTCACCCCTTATCTCAATTTGGAAATAGCCACCTATTAGCCTATCTCTAGTCTCATATCCTATAATTCATTCTCCATATGCTTCCAAAGTGATAGTAATCTTTACAAGCCAGAGGGATCAATTATAAAATTGTTTCAGAATTCTTAAAATAACATAGAAGACCCTAAATGATCAATCTTAGTAGTTGTCATAATCTCAATATTCTTATAACCCTCCGATTCTCCCTGTGGTTTTATAACTCCCAGCCTTTGATCGTGCCGAATTTCTTAGCCTGAAAAGTCCCCAATCTCCAGTCCTAACAAACACCTAACTCATATTCCAAGACTCATTCCATACACTAGTTTCTGTAGGAATTCTTTATCTTACCAGACCTCTCATATAGAATTGGCCACCCCTTCTCTATGCCCTCCCCTGTAGCTTACCCAGATATTTAAAAACAAGCCTTCCTTTTAGAGAATAAGGTACCCAATGATACACAAATTTCATATTCCCAGAACCTAGCACTGTATCTGGCATATCTTTGGCACTCAATCAATGTTCAGAATGAAATATGCAACTCTTTCCAGGAAAAAGAGTTTTGTCTATCACAAATACCAAGAAAAGTTCTTGGCATATAGTAAGCACTCAACAAATATTTGATAAATGAATGAATAAATGAATCCTCTCCTACTTCGCCAGTGAATCAGTGATCTGATCATGCAATCCTTCTCCATATATTTTTTCTTTAACATAACAATGCCCACAGTATTAAGATAGTTTGTATATTATGCCATTATCAAATGCTGACACAAATAGGAAATGGTCTTAGTGGTTAATTGTTTCATTACTAAAATCTCCTTAGGGGCTTCTTAGTGTCAGCCTTCTCAAATATAACCAGAAGGACTCAAAACTAAATGCTGCTTTGTTTTTTATACTCAACTGCTGAACAAGTAAACCAAGACAGCGAAAATTCTACTAACCCAGGGAGAAAACATCACACAAAATCTATTTCTGGTATGTTTAAATCTCAGAGATTTACATAAAAATTCAGGATTCAACTTATGAATGTGCAGAATAGGCATACTTTCTAGAGGTGAGATGAAATGTCAAATATTTCCTACTGCTGGTATACTGGTATACTGAGATTTCTATTAGAAAATGATAACCTGGGCTTTTCAATCTTTAAGAGAATCTTTTTAAAATGCAGATATTCCTGAGTAAAAGCAGGGTTGATATCTAGCCTATATGCATGATCAATAAGACCAGCCTGTCACTTTATGGCTGGCAAGAGTTTTGATTATTCAGGGCTAGTACATTACCAGATGTTAAATATATAGCCTATTACCGCCACCAAGAAGGAACTCCATTCTGAGTCTCACTTCCATAGATTTAGAACTGAAAGTGTTCTATAGATCATCTAGTCTTACTATATTATATTTCGGAGATTCATTTTCTTTTTTTTTCAAGCATATATTTACACATTCACTTAACCAGTATTTGCTGAAGGCCTACTATGTGACAAGCTCTCTTCCAGGAACTCGGGACTCAGGAATGCACAAAACAACAAAGATGCAAGTACTCACAGGCCTTACATTATGTTAAACAAGGGCAGACAATCAAAAATACATTAGTCAATTTTTTTTTTCACTTGGCTGCTTCGGTTTGTCAAATGGAGATGACTGCTATAAAAATAAATAAATAGGGCCTCCCTGGTGGTGCAAGGGGTTAAGCACCACACTATGAAGCAATCCGCAGCCTCTGCAGCACGAGTTCGATCCCTGGCCAGCCAGGGAGCAACCCACATGGTGAGGCAGACCTCTCCTTTCTCACTCGCTGCTCCCCTCAGCAGTGTGTTTCAGTCAGTCTGCCTGTTCTGTTCCCCGCTCTGTCTCTGGTGAATCCTCTCACCCTCTCATCCGCCCTCCCCCCACCCCCTGCATCTCTGACCTGTACCCCAGCTCTTGTATGCATAACTAAATAAATCTTTAAAAATTAAAATAAAATAAATAAAATGAGTCCTTAGGGAACTAAAAAAATGTTCTCTAAAAAAATTATAAATAAATAAATAAATAAATAAGTAAATAAATAAATAAATAAATAAACAAATAAAACAGAGAGGCAGGATATAACATGCCAGGCAGGAAGTCAAGGTGGCTTCAATTTTAAATTCAATGATCAGGGAAGTCCCCACTGAGAAGGTGATATTTTAGATAAGACCAGGAGAGGAAAAAGCAAACAATACTAATACCTGATGAAGTGGGGTACCCATAGGAAGAGGGAAAAATGACTCAAAAGATCATGAGGGGGAAATTTGTGTGATTTATTCAAAGAACAAAACAAGACAGAAAGATAACAGCATGTGTAGTGTGGAGGGAAGTTAAGGGGGACAACCAGAAGATAGAGTTCCAAGGATTAGTGAGGACCAACCAGCACAGAGTCCTTGGGGGTCCTTTTGAAAGACGTAGTGTTTTGCTGTGAGTGACATGGGAGCCATGGGAGGGCTTGAGCAGAAGAGTGACATGATCTGACTTATTCCTAAAGGATCATGAAGCTGTGGTGTTGAGAAGAGCCTGAGGTGGGGCAAGGATTGAAGCAGATAAATCCTGCGGAAGGTTGTTGCACAGATCAAGGTGAGAGATGACAGAGGGACTACTAGAGTGGTAGTGGCCATGGATGAGAAGCAGTGGACAGATTCCATTATATTTAGATAGAAGAACTGATATGATCCGCTAACAGATTAATTACAAGGAACAAGACAAAGAACTATGTTTTTTGGCCTGAGTAACCAGGAACTTAGTGTTTTCATCAACTGAAGTGGAAAGATTAAGAAAGTGAAAGTTGATGGGGTTCTAATGATCAGGAACTTAGTTTGGGTATTTTAAGTGAAGTACCTATGAAATACTCAGTTAGAGGAGTTGACAAGGCAGTCCAATAAGGAGATGGATATACAGAGAAGTTGTGAATTACATCAGTTCATCCAACCACAAAGGCACCATCAAATGGGACATGAAATAGTTGCTGGGAAGGAAGAGAGAGGGCATCCCTAAAAAGAAAGGTAAAGCAGAGAAAAAACTGCTCTGTCTTCCTCATTCTGGCCAGTAAGTAGGCAGCCAGACCAGACGAAAGCTCACAAGCCAGAACAGGAATTGGAAATGTTATCCAATTGCTAGCTTCTGATATTAACTTTCCATTTAAATTCTTGAGCATGTTTACAAATTTATTTTAGCTTTAAACATTCCTTAAAGCGTGTGCAAGGAGAATATAAAGAGAGAATGGGCATGTACTAAGATAGCACAAAACTATTTGAACTGCTCTGAGTGCAGATACTCCCCAGATACCAAATCTCAAAGCAACCAAGAGTTCCTAATTGCATCTTCCAGAGTTTAGATTAAGAACAAAATCAAAGAAGAACAAAGAAGCTACGATTAAAAGGGTTCTTGGCAAAGGGTGTGGGAGTAATTTGCCCATTTGAGGCTCCTTCAAAGAATATCTGGGAATCCCAAGTTCTAGACTACTCATGTGATAATAATACTCTTTTGCAGAGATCTAAAGAGTGCTGAATTCACAACTTTCTCCAGAACTACATGCCTTCAGTTCACTTGAATCTCTAAACTGGAGCAAGCCATGTAGAATAACTATAAACTGGGGCATATTCACCAAATATGTCAAGAGAATATGATAGAGGGTAAGAGAGAATAGGTCATCAGCTATGGTCTGATGGAGACTTTCAGAGATCCAACCTTGTACAGTAGCCAGTCCCATATAGCCAACTTGTCATTTTGGGTCTGAGATAGATAATGATCTAAAGTGATTTCAACTTTTCAAGTCTTCATCTCATTAAAATCCATCCATCCCATATTTTCTGTCTTTACTACTTTCAAAATGCAGAGTATTGTATGCATACTGGGCTCTAGTCACTTACTGGACAGAAGTAATGCAGAGATCAGGATCAGGTCTGATGGCCTTCATAGTTCAACATGAAGAATTAAGGATGATTTGAGAGAGAGTTCCTGCAAGAAAAATAAACCAATGTCAGGCTGTGCCAATTAGTCACCTATTGTCTCTCAGTGCCAATGCAACCCATGCATACTGTGCTCCTTGACACTATATTTTCAATATTCCCTTTCCAGATGGATTCATGTTAGTTTTTGTCAGTAAAAGAGACTTGTGTGAAATTGAAAGACAGGAGGAGGGAAGACTGAACTCTCCTTCTATTTACAGCTTCTATAAGTTTTATTACAGCAGCAGAAAACAACTACCACACCCAAAATGCTATACCCCTCATAGGCAAAATCATCAGCTGATGTGCCCTTCAGTGAGAGTAATAGCACACTGTGCACTCTTGAGAAAGAGTAGCCTCAGATCATCCTTTCCTCAGAGAGATGAACACCAATCAAGTGTAGCCTCCTTGCAAACCCATGCAACAACCAGTTGGTATCTGTCATTCCAAGTCAAAGCTCTGGCCACCCAGGCCAGTCCTGTGACCTACTGCACAAATTTTTTGTTCCTACAACCCCAGAAATAGTAGCTGTTTACTATAAGTACTAGTATCAGCCCACCTTGGCATTTCTTTTCTGCTCTTTCAATCTCCCAATATCAGTAAATGATATTCATATCATTTTTCTCTCCAAAAAGTGGACCACATTTTGTGGGTTGTTCTTAGTGACTTGCATCATATGAGTAGAATATAACAGAAATGATGGTATGTGTCTAGGTCATAAAAGGGATAGTAGATTCCTGCTGCTCTCACTCTTAGATCATGTTCTCTGGGGGTAGCCAACTGTTATGTCATGAGGACACTCAAACAGCCCTGAGGGAGCCCATTTGGGAAGAAACTGAGGTCTTTTGCCAAATGCCAGTGAGAGGCTGAGCTCCTGCTCAGCTCCTGCCAATAGCTATATAAGTGCGCCATCTTGGAAGCAGATCATCTGTCTCTATCCAAGCCTTCAGATAACTGCAATCCCATCCAAAAGTTTGACTGCAACCTCATAGACACCCTAAGCTGCTCCTGGAATCCTGAACCTCAGAAACTATATGAAATAATAAATGTTTGTTGTTTTAAACAACTCAATTTTGAGGAAATTGGTTATGCCACAACAAATACCTAATAATAGTAATCAATTCCTTATATTAAAGTCCTCCATTTGAAATATCTATCATGGCTTATTTCTGCACCTTGATTGATAGAGTACCTTTTACTATGAATGGAGCCAGATATTGACTCTCAAAGATTGGATTCTGTAATTGGGTTACTTCCCTCTATAACTGTGAACACAGTGATAATTTTCCTTGCTAATAGCAAAAGGGGTACTGATAATCTGTATCAAGAAACAGTATCAAAGTTACTTAAATTATTACCTCTGACTACTTGGGATAAATTTCCTACTGAAGGCCAGGCTTTAAGTGATAAAGTGGCTAAAAAACTTGACACTTGCAGTAATAAGTAACTACAAGAACTCTGAAAAAACTTTCCCTGAATCAAGTCATAGAAGACCATAAGGAGTCTTTATTGGCCATAAAATACTTCTTGGTTCTTGGAATTGTAGTTAGATATAAGTAATCAAATTATAATTTTGTGAGCTACAGAATCAAAATATAATATGAATTCACAGACAAAGTTTCTTAGGTGAAGGCTCAAGAATTGGAAAGAATAGATGCCTGACTCTTGCAAGGAAGAAATTGTGTCAACTTAGACAAGGTTGAATACTTTCAATCTAATGTACCTAAGCCTCACTTGCCAGTAAAAGCTGTTCTCTACATTTTGAAGAGAGAAACATGATCCTACTTAAAGGTCCTTTAACTTTCTCTAAAAATGAGTGTCTATCTCCTTACCACCTTTTACCACCTCAAGACATATAACTAAAGTCAGATCTCAACACTCTCCAAAGAGGCAAGTGCCAAGTCATATTTGAGAGATAAGAGTTTACATTCCTCTGGTCCAGCCACAATGTAAATCTGTGTGGAATTTCCTCAAAATGCCAAAAATGGCTCTACCATACAATCCAGCGATCCCAGCCCTAGGAATCTACCCAAAGAACACAAAAGTACTAATTTGAAAGGAAATATGCACCCCTATCTTAATTGCAGCCAGTATAGCCAAGATATGGAAACAACCTAAATGCCCCAAAACAGATGACTGGATCAAGAACATGGGGTATATATACACAATGGAATACTATTCCGCAATCAAGATAAACTTATGCCATTTGTGACATCATGAATGGAGCTGGTAGGGATTATGCTAAAGGAAATGAATCAGAAGAAAAAAGATAACTATCCGATGGTTTCACTCATATGTGGAATATAGAGAAACCAAACAGAGGGTCAGGAAAAAACAAAACCTGCAAGCTGACCATACATCTGAGGCATCCAGCAGGGGACAAGGAGGAAGAGCGGTCAACACTGGGGAGGAAAGAGCACAAGGGACAGTGGAGAAGGATACACTGGTGCCATGGTGGTGGGAGAACTATGGGAACTATACCTGAGGGGAGAAATCAAATACTGTCCAAAAATTAACAATAATGTAAGAAAATAAATGAATTTAATAAATTAAAAAATAAAGTTGAAATTAAAAAAATGTTTTACATTCCAAAAGGATAACAATATTTTGCAAATACATATTGGTAGAAACTTGGATAATACATGGGGGAGTAGATTCTAAAAGTTAAAGACACAGAAGGATAAATATAATGTTGAACTAAATCAAATGTTTTATTATGGTTTAGCTAGAATAATTAATTAACTGGGAAGGGTTCTAACAGTTTGCTAGGTGACTGAATCCATCAGAATAAAATGCCAGAACCTATTTGGCATGAAATAGAAGAACTGAAAGTCTAGAAAGAGAGAAACAATGGAATGAACCCAAAGTCTTACCTACCACATTTCTTAAGAGTCCAAAGGACACCCCCTTGACTAAGGTACTGAGAGGCATTAAAGAGAGAGCCACTATCCTCCTGGAAGAGCTCTGTGCCAAGCTGGGGCTGTCTTTGCAAGCTGTGGGGATGATGATGGTCAGAAATGACACCACTGAAATGGATGTCCTGAGTTTAAATGGACAGTGGAATTCTGGAATACCAAGTAATATCACTTAACCACTAAAGACAAAGTAAACACAAATTCCATCTTTACTAGTTATGTTTGACCTACAGATATCTCCAGTTGTTAATCAGCATGTTTCAATGAAATAAATAGACAGCCTACTTAATAATCATATATGTAATATAAATGTAATCAGAAAAATTCTAGATTGAGTGTGGAGTAACCTAAGTTGGAGAAGCACATCTTCTCACCCAGTGTAGCCTCAAGCAAGTCCATAGCTCAGAGTTCTTGGTCTTGGTCCCTTCACAAAAAAATATTTAACCAATATTACTATAATTATATTCTGAAATATTACTCCTCCCACAAGGGTGTTTATATATAGGCTGATCACACTCTAGGAAAAGGAAAACCTCCAGGCCTATCTTACTATTACCTAGATTCAAGCTCTATTTACACTGAACCATAATCATACCATGGCCCACCAGTGTGAGGCTTATGGGGGTCAACTGACACAAATAGATTTTTTTTCAATTACATTCCCAGATCCTGAAATAGTCATTCTTGTGAGTCTAATTCACAGAATCATCACAT